GTCTCTGTGGGAGGTCTCTGTGGAGGTCTCTGTGGAGGTCTCTGTGGGGGTCTCTGTGGAGGTCTCTGTGGGGGTCTCTGTGGAGGTCTCTGTGGGGGTCTCTGTGAAGGTCTCTGTGGGGGTCTCTGTGGGGGTCTCACAGCGCGGGGAGCTCTGTCCCTTTCCCACCTTACTGCGCCTCCGGCAGGTGGAGGGCACGGGCCGGCTCCTTCCTGTCCCCTGCGGCTCCCTCAGCCTCCTGCCTGCAGCCCTTCTCCCGAGGGGCCTGCGGGGTCCCCGTCCAGCTCCCCCGCCCCCCGAGCCCACCTCTCGGTGCCCCTGAGGGGCTCAGGGACCCTGCTCCGGGCCACCCTGTCCTGAGCTCCCGAGGACCCAGGGTGCTCTCTGTCCTGGTCCCCGCCCCCCATCCCCCAGTCCTGGCTGCACGGTCACCGCTGGGTCCCCCCAGTCCTGGCTGCACGGTCACCGCTGGGTCCCCCCAGGTCCTGGCTGCACGGTCACCGCTGGGTCCCCCGCCCCCCCGCAGGTCCTGGCTGCTCGGTCACCGCTGGGTCCCCCCAGGTCCTGGCTGCATGGTCACTGCTGCCCCCCACCCCCCGGGGGGCTGCCTCGGGGGACAGAGCCCACAGGCAGGGCCTGGCCGCGGAGAGAAGCGGTGGCCCAGCAGGGCTGTGCCGCCCGCCGCGCCCGGCACCAGGTCCCCGGCCCACATGCGGGGTCCTGACGGGTGGGGGCAGGGCCCTGCCTGCTGCACCTGGACGGGGCCTCTCCTGGGGCGGGACTGTCCACCCCACGAGTGAGGCCCCACCCCGACCCCCGCCGTTCCCTGGGGGCCGTCCTTGGGCCCCTCGTTAAGTCCCCGTCCGCCCGGGCCCCGGCGCCGCGCAGGCTCAGGAGGCTGCGCAGAAGGGCACCTGCCCCGGCGGACGCCGGTGCCCCCTGGCCGTCTGCGGAGAGGCCCCTGCGGCCGGAGCGGCTCCCCCCTCGGGGCCGGCGGGTGGCAGCGGGCATCGCGGGCTCCCGGGGCACCGCACCCCGGGGCAGGGCGCCCCCCGCCCGCTCACCCCCCGAGCTGGGAGCGCGTCCTCCTCCGGCGCTGGTCCAGGGCGAGAAAGCAGGGGGGTGACGCTGAGCTAAGGGGGGGGCTCCCAGCCCATCTGCACCCCAGCTCCATCAGGGGTCCTGGGGCAGGCGACGGGGTGCGGGGGCAGCATCTCTCCCACCGCTGCCCTCAGGCCCAGCCTGGCCTCCAAACTGTGCTCCCCGCTCTGATGTGAGGTTCTCTTCCAGGCGCCCTGGGGCCCAGGGGTTTCTGCCTCTGCAGACCCTCCCCTATGGTCGCCTAGAGTCCCCTGCGGTTCAAGGGAGGGAGGGAGAGAAAGGGAGAGAGGGAGCGAGAGAGCAGACCGGGATGGGCGGAGCCAGATCCTGGGGTGGGGGCTTCCAGGTTGTGCTCCTCTTTCATTTGTGTGGAACCCGAAGGTGTGTGAGGGAGCGGGGTCTGGAGCACACCACGTGGTCACCTTCCTTCCAGGGCCCTGTCCCTTCTGGGAGCCACAGCAGGCACTGGGGGAGAGCATGCCCTGACCCACTCCTTCCCTCCCCCACCCCTGACAGAGCACAGACAGAGGCCAGCTCCTCTCGTGAGAAAAACAAACATATATTTTGGAAAACAATAAAAATTGTGGTATGAAGAAGCCATTAGTCCATAGACGATGTGCTGACCTGAGAAAAATACGTTTTTCTCTGTACTGTATGCATTCGTTCTTGGAGAAAAGGTGTCTTCCCGAGAAAGGCGTGAGCTGCACACGCTGAATGGCCAGACGGAACGTGTTTTTGAAGGAGGCAGTGCCTGGGACAGTGGGGGTGGTGAGGGCGGCCTGAGGCTCTGGCCCCCATCGGCCCGTGGTGGCAGGGTGTGCCTGGGGACCCCAGCGTCTGGGGTACGAAGGCCCACTTGCTGTCTCTGCCCCTGACGCACGGGGCCTTGTTAGGACAGCCGTGGCCCTTGGAGGCTGTCTCTCTCATCACTCTCCTCTGCTCTTGGTAGGAGAGAACCTTGTGGTAGCAGACGCCGGGCCCGGCCTGTGCCTGGAGTTCCCGCTTGCACCAGTTGAACTCCGAGGCTCTAAGTCCCCGGTGAGGCACCGTTTTCTCCTCCAGGATGTGTCCCATGGCTGTCATGAGCACCTGAGTCTTGTCGTCCTCAACTGATATGCCTGAGCCGGACCCCGGCCTCTGGGCGGGGGTGGGGGCCGGCTCGCCCTGGCGCGGGGAATCTTCCGGTCTTTTGCCTTTGCTGGGAAAAATCCACTGCAGGAAGCGCCTCATCCGCCTTCTGAAGCGGCTTTCGGGGGGAGCGGCCTCCTTGGGCAGGAGCTGACCGAGCTCGCTTCTCAGGATCTCTGCTGACTCCTGGTCCCGGGGAGGGCAGTGCATCACGCTGGCCTGGAAGGCCCTGAGCTCCGCCAGCCATTTGTCACGCCCCCCCAGGCTGAACCTCCAGCGGTCGTCTCTGCGGTCCGGGCGGCCGCTCTGGGTCTTCCGGAGGCCCGGCGGCCTCAGGGGCCCCCGCTGCCCCTCGCTGTTCTGCGCACTCGCTCTGAAGTGGAGGATCGTCTGGGAAGTCGACGTGTCTGTGCTGGACTCACTCGGGAAGCCAGGCAGAGAGCCGTGAGAGGCCAAGACGTCGGCAGCGAGGAGCACGTCGGAGCGGCAGCCCTCCAGGAGTTCGTTGGAGACGCAGTCTTGCAGGAGCACTCCCGTTTCACAGTCTTGCAGGAGCACTCCCGTTTCACAGTCTTGCAGGAGCACTCCCCTTTCACAGTCTTGCAGGAGCACGCTGCCGCCTCGGCCTTCGGGCCCTGCGCACCCCGCCAGCCCCCGGAGCTCAACCCCTTTAGGCTTGTCCTGGCCTAGACCCGCCAACGCTGTGGGTGTTGAGAGGCCTTGGCTGCTCCCGGACGACCCCAGTCTTCTCACATCCGCATGGATGCTTTCACTGGGGTCCAGGGAGTCTCCCCACGCAGAGCCCTCTCTGGCCCTGGAAGACTGGGATTCTAAGCCGAGGTCTAGTACCTTTACGCTGCAGCAGGAGTCCCATGAAGTCCAACCCCCGCTCTCCCTCATCGGCTCATCTGTGGCCATTGCTGGACCTGGACTTGCCTCCAAGCTGAGATTCTCAAGAGCCCCCGCGCCGATCTCGCTGTGCCAGATTCTGCCCACGAAGCTGTATGTGGGGGTCTGAGAGTGTGGCCCGGCCTCCCGTCCAGCCAGAGGGACCCCCGAGGGCCCACGGCCGTCACCAGAGGAGGACCTGCCCAGGGCCTGCCCAGCCTGGACTTCCTCACGCGCAGGCTGGGGGGCAAGAAGGGGAGCCCTCAAGGTGGGAACGGACTCTTCTGTTATTACCACCCCTCCTTGATGGGGCTGAGGCGGGTTTTCCAAGAACTTGGCTTTCGCCCGGGCCTTAGGTGGACAGGTGGCCAAGCAGGGAGTGGAGGGCGGTGGAAAGATTGAGCTCTTTTTCAACTTAAAGAGACTGAGAGGCTTGAGGACCCTGAGGGGTAGGCCCCATCTGTGCTTCACCCGGAACCTTATAATATGTGCCTCCAGCATCCGTTGAGTGTATGGACTGAGGATGGAAAAATCATGGGAGATGTTCACACAGGGCTCCGGACACTTGGAAAATGCTAGATTTCCAGTTTCTCTGTGAGCACTTGGCTTGGCAGGAAGGTCCGAGGCATGGTTGACACCAAGCCTGGATTGATGAATGCCCACAGGGATCTGACCCTCTCTGATCTGCCCTGATTTCCTGCCCAAATGGGCTCTCAGGAGCTTTTCTGGGTGGTTCTGGTCTGGGCCGCTCGTTCGGGGCTTCGTCAAGTCTGACCCCTCAGAGCTTATTCTTGAAACCTTCAGTGAAGAGCTGGTCAAGCTCCTGTGTAGATCTTTCTCGGCGCCCCCCACACTGGGCCCGGTATCCTTGCCCAGGCTTTTACCTGGCATGGTCCTTGCTGGGCGCCTGGGCCTGGTCTTCTGGGCAGCCTGGCGGCTTCCACTCTGTGCCTGTGATGCCTTCGGGAGCTCGCCGTGGGGCCGGCTCAGCTCCACCGAGTGTTGGATCTTGTGGGTCCCGCCATCTTGCTGCTTCATGGATTTCTTCCAAAAGTGTTGCTCTAGGTGTTCCCGGAGCTCAGGGGCGATCGAGTCCCCTGAGGGGCAGGGAAGGACGGACGCTGTCCTGGGGGTCTGGGGGGCCTCGCTGTCCTGGGGAAAGTCAGGAAGGACCTGGCTGAAGACTTCCTGAGATCGTTTCACCACAGAGGGTAAAGTCCTGCTCCTTTCTAGTTGCTTCTTCAAAAAGTGACTCTCCAGGTTTTGAATTGCATTTGGGATGAAAGGTGGTGTGTTATCCTGCACTGGAGGGTCAGCTGCCTCCCCGGCCATCTGGGGCGGGAGAGAAGGCAGTCCCGTTGGGACAGAGGGTGCGGGCTGGGCCTGGGGCTCGACCTGAGCCGGAGGCGGGTCCTGAGGCTGGGTCAAGCCTGGGGTCAAGGCTTGGGGCTCGGCCGAAGTGTGAGGGAAGGGCTGGGCCGGTGACGGATGAGAAGCTACGCTGTCCTGAATTTGGAATGATAAGGCATGAGACGGTTCATTGAAAATGACAGGCGTCAAGTCCAGTGGGGAACCAGTCAGGCTGACAGTGGCCACCAAGGACTCACTGTGCAGAATGGGGAGACCCCAGAAGAGCTGGCTACATACCGGCTGCAAACGGCCCCCCCGAACCTCGGGATATGGAGGCTTCTCCGGGCCGAGCAGCTGCTGGGGCCCGCCTTGCATGCTCCAGAGGGGTCGGCAGCCCACGGTGTCCGGCTTGCCCCGCGGTGACGTGAACACGCTCCCCAAAGGGTGCAAGTGGGAGTCTGACCCTTCTTCCTTTTCCTTCTCCTTCCAGATCCTCAGTTCTGATCTCTTGGTGATGAGAATCTCCAGGAGCTTCTGGACGTCAGGATCGATGAAAGAGAGGACGCCAGGCTCCGCCTGCGTGTTGGGGTCCCTCCAGAACAACGCCTCCGGGTGGCGGTGGGCCGGAGGCCCCTGCCGCGACTCCAGGCGTGTTGAGGCGGACAGGCCCCAGGCCTGGGCCGCCCACCACCACGACAGGGCCGGGCCGGGACAGCTCGGGCGGCCCAGGCCTGGCAGGGGAGCGGCTGACCCGGCGGTGCGCCAGCACGGGCTCCGAGGGACGGCATTCAGTGGCAGTGCCAACGCCTTGCACGGAAGGAGGGCTAAGGTAGAGTCTGGCCGCGGGGGGGTGGGGGAGGCCGTCTGGGGTGGAGGGCCGGCCTCTGGAGACGGGAGGCAGGGCGGGGAAGGGGAAGGACCAAGGGGCAGGGCGGAAAAGCCATCGGGGGGCAGGAGAGACTCTGGTAGCCAAGAAGGACTCAGGGAGGAGTTCGAACGAACAGAAACTGAGGAGGTCGGTGGGCTTGGTGACGGCGTGGAGGCCAGGAGCGTGGGGGAAGCCGACCCGGGCGTGGTGGGCGCCACATCCTTCACGGGCCCCCCGCAGGGCCGCTGGGCTCCCGCAGGTGCCGCTTCGCACACGTCCCCAGGGCCTTCTTGCCCTAAGGGCTGGGGGAGGCCTCCGTGGTCAGGACGCCGCCCCCGGTGGCTGCAGGAGACAGGAGGCACACGCTGCGGCCCGGACAGCCAGGCCGGGGGTGGCCAGCACGGCCCTCTGGGCCCCCCACCCCCACCCCACCATGCACAGTGCTCCCACTGCCCCTCCCCCCAGGGCCGTGTCACTCCCCGTCCCCAGGGCTCCCCCGCCCCCCACAGGCCTGGGGCCCCACCCGAGGCTCTGAGAAGCCCACCCGGGAGCGAAGGGGGCAGATTCTTTACCTTTGCAGAAGGGAAACCAGGTCCCGAACCCCATCCAGTTCTTGCAGACAATCTCTGCAGGCTGGAGACAGGAGACCGGGTCACAGAGGTGCAGGCCAGGCCCCGGGGGTCTTACAAGGAGGCTGGGGGCTATGTCTCTTTAGGGGAGACCTTTGGGGGATTAGACTTGGGAGCCCCAGACATCAGTGTCCAAGGCCACATGGTCTCGCAGTGACAACAAGACTCGTGGGGACAGCTTCGTCCTTTACAAAGAGCTTCCCCGTTCATGACTTGGGGGGGGTGGGGGGGGTGAGAAAGGCCCGGTCGCCTCCCAGAGGAACTTGTCCACAGCTGGAGCCGGGGGTCCCGGGGTCCTGGCGGGCGGCACCCGGGTCCAGCCCCTGGGCTTGTTCTGGCCCAGAATCTGGGAGGCGTCGGGGTTCCGCCCTCGGTCCCCGGCGCCTCCGGGGCTCTGTTTCCTGAGGGACGGACCGGGGTGTCCTGGAGACGGTGGGGATGGGCGCTGGAGGGACACCAGCCAGGGGCGCAGGGCTGAGTGGCAGGCGCTCACCTTTCAGAAGTTCGCTTTTCTTCTTGTCTCTGATGCTCCTGCGCCTCAGCTCTACCTGCTGGTGAGACAGAGAGCATGGGGGGGGGAGGGGCTGGGACCCCCAGTCTCTCCTCTCCGGCAGCAGATGCTCCGTGTTCATGAGCAGCGTGACTTCCTACCTTCAACTAATGGGGGGGGGGGGTTGGCTTTCTTTCTTCTTACTCATTTTCAAAGTGGGTATTTTCAGTTTTTCTACTTGAAGAATGTACACAAGGATTTTCTCTGCGAGAAATTTCTCGGTCCCTGTTCTGCTCAAGGAACATTCCCGGACCTGCGGGTGCATCTCAGCTCCTTCGGGTGGGACCCTGCTTCCCGAGGCCAGGGCCCCACCGCTGGCCCTGCTGGGGCCCCCCGGGCTCGGCGCTGCCCTCCACCAGCCCCCGCAGGGCAGAGTTCTCCCGGGACGCCTGCCCCGGGGAGGGGGCTGCCGGCCCAGGGCTGGGGGCCGGTCCTCCGCTGGAGACGGAGCGCTTGGCCTCAGTCCTCTGCTCACTGCCCGGGACGTGGCCCCGGAGCCTCTACCACACGCGGCCTCCTGGCCTGGGGTCTCCGGGGAGAACCCCCCCGCCCTCTCTAAGCCGGCCTGGTCTGGCTTGTCCCCGGAAGGATGGCGTTCCCTCTTTCCCGAGAACACACGTTCCGTTCTTTCCCATCCCAGGAGTCTCTGCAGGGACTCAGGAAAGCGGAAATAGTAACGGGAAAGGAGACAGCATCATACTCTGCCGGGCCCGGGCCAGGCTTCCTTACCTTTCTGCTGAGTCTGCGTTTCCGACGTGGTGGTGAGGACGACGGGTCAGTCTGGAAGCAGGAGATTAGCAGGAGGAAGAGCCACAGTCCACACAGGAAGGCGAAGGTGGTCCCCGTCGTCCAGGAGGAGGGGCTGGAGCTCAGCCAACCGGCGCTCATGCTTTTCAGAGCCAAGAGAATATTCTCCATCTCTTTCCTGGAAGAAGCATTAGCATTAGCGCCTGGTCCCACTGCTGCCCTCACATGACTGAGCACTGAGCTTGTACTTGGGGACATCACATCACAGAGCCGTGGGCTGGTCACAAAGGGCTCCTGAGGGAGGGGGAGGGGAGCATACCCCACCCAGCTCTGCAGCTCCATCCCCCCCCCCCCCCCCCCCCCCCCCCCCCCCCCCCCCCCCCCCCCCCCCCCCCCCCCCCCCGGACCTTTAGGCTCCTTCCTCCCCTTGGCAGACACCAATCCCTTCTCTGCATCTATGAGTCTGAGTTTTGTTTTGTTTACTATGAGTGTCACATATAACACCTTATGTATACAACTCTGTTTTACGTTGCCACTAACTTAAATGTAAGCATATTTTAAACGTCTGCATTTTTACTTCTTTCCCCACACATTTAATGTTTTTGATGTCACATTTACCTCTTTTTATTTTATGGATCTCTTAAATAATTATTGTAGTTGTAGTTAATTTTACTATTTTTGTCTTTTAACCATACTAGCTTTATAAGTAATTTATTCTCTACCTTTGCTCTGTATATACTATATATTACCTTTTCCGTTAAGACTTTACTTTTATATATTTTCTTGTTATTAAGTACACCATTTCTTCTCAGTTTAAGTCCCTTAAACATCTCTTATAAGGCCAGTTTAATGGTAATGACCTCCTTTATTATTGCTTATTTGGAAAACTCTTAATCTCCCTATTAATTCTGAATAATGACCTCTCTGGGTAGAGTATTCTTGGTTGGAATTTTTTTTTTCTTTCTGCATTTTGAATATGTCATGCTACTCTCTTCTGGCCTACAAAATTTGTGCTGAATAAATTGCTGATAGTGTAATGGGGCTTCCCTGGTGCAGAAACATTGCTTTTTTTTTTTTTTTTTTTTGCTGCTTTTTATATTTTCTCTCTTTAACTTTTGACATTCTAATTATAATGTTTCTTGGTGTTGGTCTTTTTTTTTATATATATATATTTGAAACTCCCTGTGGTTCCTGGACCTGGGTGTGTGTTTTCTCCTCCAGGTTAGGAAAGTTTTCAGCTATTATTTCTACAAATGAGTTTTCTGCACCTTTCTCTGTCTCTTCTTCCTTTGGGATCCCTTTAGTCTGAACATTATTCTGCTTGATGTTGCCCCATAGGTTTCTTATCTTTCATATATATATTTTTAATGTTTGCTTATTTTTGAGAGAGAGAGAGAAAGAAACAGAATGTGAGCAGGGGAGAGTCAGAGAGAGAGGGAGGCACAGAATCTAAAGCAGGCTCTCGGCTCTGAGCTGTCAGCACAGAGCCTGGTGTGGGGCTCGAACTCATGAACCGCAAGATCATGACGTGAGCCAAAGTGAGATGCTTGATCAACTGAGCCACTCAGGTGCCCAGTTATCTTTAATATTTTAAATTTGTTTCTCTTTTTGCCACACTATCTGGGTGAATTTCAATACTTTGTCTTCCAGCTCACAGACCCTATCTTCTGTTTCATCCACTCTACTTTTGAATCTCTCTAGTGTACTTTTCAGTCTAATTTTTGTATTCTTTAGCTCTGTGACTTCTGGTTGGTACTCTCTCATACTTCCTGTTTCTGTTGAAGTTCCCACTGTGTTCATGAATTCTTCTTCCAGCTTGGATGAGCATCTTTATGAACAGCAAATTGAATTCATTACATGTAGACTGCTTCTCTCCATATCATTAAGGTTTTTCTGAAGTTTTGTCTTGTTCAATTATTTGGAACATATTTCTCCATTTCCTCATTTTTCTGGACTTTCTGTGTTTCTCTATATTTGGCAAAAAAACAACGTTCAGTCCTGAAGGAGTTGCCATGTGTAGAGATGGCAGCTTCTCACTCACCCTTGTTCTAGTTCCTGGTAGTTTCCTACCTTTTGTCATTGTCTAAACAGGCAGATTTATTTTGCTGTGGCCCCACTGTTGAGGGTGTGCCGAGATCTGGAAATGTTCCAAGGAGAGGATTCTAATTTAACACTTAGTTTCAGGCTGATTGGAAGCCAGAACCTCAGGCAGAAGTTTTTAAAGTGTGAAAATATACACAGTCCTGTGGGGCCACAATCATAAACCCAGCTGGACTCCAGATTGGGACACTTGGAGGTGTCCCTGGGTGGCAGTTTAAAAACTCAGGGCCCTAGATAAATGTATAAGGTCCTTGCTGGGATGTTTGGTAGAGCTACAGTGAGGCCAGGGGGCTACCCAAGGATGGTGTCTCCCTGCTTACATTCCCTGGGAGCCTAAGAAACCTGAAGCTTGTCCCTCAGGTTGAAGGGTAAGTAAACAGGCCTTTTTCACAGGAAGACTGGGGGTGTGTTTCTGTCTGCTGTCTGGGCAGTGCCCTGGGGCCGTTGGCCTGCCAAGAAGTGTCTTTCCAGTTGTTATAGTCCCATGGAGCTCAGCAATGCCAACCCCCTTGGCCATCAGGGGCCCAAGACAAGGGGCATCTTCCGTGTGGTTTGCACATGCCTACTGACTTTATCAAGGCAGCTGGTATGAGTAGGGGACAAAGCATGCTCTCTGGCTTCAGAAAGAGAACAGGATAATGCCTTGAATGCATGCACTCATCACTGTCAGCAATGCTGCAAGAGATTGCCCTGTCCCAGGTCCCAGGCTGGGGGCAGGAAAGTGCCATGACTGTTCCCACGAGCCTGCCCTAGCCAGGGAGTGGACTAGCCCTAATCAGGCAAAGGGGTGCCTACCTGTGCTAGCAGAGTTGGTAGAGAGCCCACAGATGGTATCTGTCAGAGCCTACTGAGAGTTCCCTGACTTTCCCCTGCCCCTCTGGCAGATACCCTCAGAGGAGCAAAAGAATTTCCTTGACATACAGTCTAGGCACTTTTAAAATTGATGCTTTTGAACAGGATCTCCCCGTGAGACCGAACATGAGCCCTTTAAAAGGAGAATCTCTATTTCCTATAGCACTTGGGGGTCCTGGAATGGCAGCTTCCATGGTTTTCTAAACCGGGCATCTTTGGGAGCTCATCTCTGTGGTGCAGATCACGAGGGTTGGGGTGCCTGATGTCAGGGACCAACCCCTCCTTCCAGAAGAAGCACTAGACTGGTGAGATCCCTCCCCATCATGTGTTGGGACACTGGGGGTTGAGTGTTTTTTTTTTGGTTTTTTTTTGTTGTTTTTTTTTTTGCCAAGACCACGTCTGCCTCTCCTACATGTCTCAAGACTCTCTTATCTTTTGTTGTGGGGAAGCAGTTCGTCTAGATTTCACATCTTTTTCACAAAGAAGTGATCCAAACATAGCTATAGATTTGGTGTGTCTGTGGGAAGAGATCAGTGTAGGGTCTTCATTTGCTGCCAAATTGGATCCCTTTCCAGAATATATTTTATAGTGTCTTTAAAAAAATGTTTATTTTTGAGAGAGAGAGAGAGCCAGAGAGAGGAAGATAGAGAATCCCAAGCTGACAGCATGGAGCCCAATGTGGGACTCAAAACCATGATCTCAGAGATCATTACCTAAGCTGAAATTAGGAGTTGGATGCTTAACTGGCTGCACCACCCAGGCGCCCCAACATTTTTATAGTGTCTTTCTATCATATAAGACAGTACATTTCCAAACTAATTCATCAGCATCTATCAGGTGTATTATGTAATGGGTTTTTCCTAAGGTTATTGTTCATATCTATGATATAGTGTTAGTTTTACTCTTCCTGACCTATTTCAACCTTTCAACCTCTCTTGAGTCCTAAATGCAGGTTTCCTTTCTTCCTAAGTTCCTGGAAGTGTGCCCGTTTTAAAAGCCTTTATTTTTTTGCCATTGATATTTGCTGTTATGCCTTGGCATGGGGCTGATTGATGAAGGTGTTGCATGAACATTCCCCCTGCTTGTTAACTATACTTTATGGGAGTAATGTGAGCTTTCTGTTTTTGGTAATTTACTATATTCTCCACTGAGGACAAAGTAGGGAGTGAGCATATTGCTGTAAGGCCAAAGAGCATGATTGATAGTGTGGATGTAAAACAAGCCAAGAGTCATGGTTCTTGTGTGTGTAATAGGTCTGGGAGTGAGGGAGAAAGGAGAGGGAGGCAAAGGGAGAGAACTGAAGTGACGCTCAGAAATAATCTCTCTATTTTTATCTTCTTATGACACCATCCTGGATCAAAACATTTCAAAGCACACAGAACCAATGGGTCAGAAATTATATTGTAATTATACACCCATTATTCTCATGCGAGCTCTTGGATCTTGATTTATCAGTGATTTTTCTGAGACATTTTTATGGATAAATGGAAAGGTGTGTTTGACAGATATCAGTCTAGCAAATGACTTCAGAGACACAGAGAGCTGGAAAGAGCATTGCTGGAAATTAATTACTTTTGGTGAACCCATCAGAGAACTGAGGTTATAGAAAAACGAGCAACATGAAATCTAAAACCTGACGGGCACCCACAGAAAGAAAGAAGAGCTCAGCATTACTTTACTTAGGACAGACACAGGCTGAATAAGTTATAAGCCCAAACAAAGGTTGAACTAGCAACAAAGGTTGCTCAATTTGTTAAATTTTTTAACAAACTGAGCAACAAAAGAAATAAGCAAGTATTGGGTCATATCCCAGAGAATAAAATAAATGTCCACGAGTCTATATGAATATAAATTATTGACCATAAAAATAAATAACAGAAAAATTATTAATAATACAGGTGCAGATATTCCTGCCTCAAAGAAGTAGAGTTTAAGTCCTTTCCCCTTGAGTGTGCACTGGACTTAGTGATCGGCTTCTAACTGACAGAGATTTGAGAGGGAAAAAAAAATGTGTCTTTACAGAGGAGAAATGTGGCAGCCGCACCTAAAGCAACGGTCAAGCTAACAGCCCAGTGATCAGTCATGCTGATGTCACGTACTCCCTCAGGGTTCTCACCTTTGTGTTACAGGTCGCCCAAACCATAAGCTCAGTCTAATCTATAGAAAGTATTAGAAAAATCTAAAATGAGAGAACTTCAAAACTGAAAATGTTACATAAAACAAGAAAGGGCTGTGAGAGTATCATAGATTGAGGATGACTAAGCTGATACATAACTAATTCTATGTGTTATCCTTATTTGGATTCTGGGAGAGAAAAAGGACATTAGTGGGAAGACTGGTGAAATCAGAATAAAATCGGTGGTTTAGTTAACAGTATAGTACCAATGTTCATTTCTTAAGATGGTAATATTAAGGGAAGTGACTTCTAGAAGTCATCACTTTTATCCTTACGGTAAGAAAAATCTGGACAGATTGGAAATCAATAGCTTTTCTTGGACTCATTAGAGAACCAAGATTTCAAGGCTAATTGCCACCAACTAGGTTGGAGGGGCAGGCACCTCCGGAAAGCTAGGAACTGAGACCTGCGTCCTACATCCTAAGATCTGTCGCAGGCACCCCTGTAGCCCTGGGCTGGTAGGAAGATTTCAATGATAGTTTTGACAAATTGCTGGAGGCTCTGTGACTCATTAAGAATGATAAATCCTGGGGGCGCCTGGGTGGCTTAGTCGGTTAAGCGTCCGACTTTCGCTTGGGTCATGATCTCGCGGTTCGTGGGTTCAGGCCCCGCGTCAGGCTCTGTGCTGACTGCCAGCTCAGAGCCTGGAGCCTGTTTCAGTCTGTGACTCCCTCTCTCTCTGACCCTCCCCTGCTCACGCTGTCTCTCTCTCCTAGAAATAAATTAAAAAAATATATATTAAAAAAAAAAAAAGAATGATAAATCCTGGAGGCCACAGTCTTGGTGCTTCCCTATCAGGACCCTTGTAGGTTCTCACGGTGAAGATTGAGATGCCCTGGTGGCTCTGGGGAGGGGTGAATGCAAGGAGGGAGTAGCGGGGTTAGGAATTATTTGGAAACATGCCCAGAGCTTTCTATAGAACAGAAGGATACTCTCCAGGAGAAAGAACTTGGCCAGAGTGCAATTCAGTTATGGACAGGAGCAAGGGCACAGGGAGAGAGGTATGTCCCTGCGACAGAGTTACAAAAACCTGTGAAGGTCACAGTCTCAGACAGAGGCCCACTATAGACTGGGACTCACTGGCAAGTTATAGAAGGCCTTTTCTCCCTGACAATCTACACTGACACCAACAGTCTGCCATGACACCAACAGTCTGCCATGATACCAACAGTCTACTATGACACCAACAACCTGCCATGACACCAACAATCTACCATGACACCAACAGTCTACCATGATGCCAACAGTCTACTATGACACTAACAGTCTTCCATGACACCACTCTAGTAAGAGTGCATTATAGCCAAAAGAACTGGAAGAGAAATTGTCTCTCTGAAGAGGAGTATTTAGGGAAGCCCAAAATCAAGAGGGGAGACAAAAACCAAGAACACTAGAGGCATTTGAAACCTCTGGCATCCACATTACTGCCAAACATTAAACATGGCCCAAATGATAAAGATTAGAAAGTTAGATCTACATAAAGGAAGGGCTTCCAGGAAGGAAGGAATGAAGGTAAAATGGAATCCTTGAATTTTTTGATTCTTAATTGATTTCTAAAAGATAACTGTTTAAAGTGGCGATAGTGACAAAGTATTATGTAGTTACAGAACCTGGATCAGTGAAATGAATGATAGGGATGTCATGGGTGGGACAGGGAGCTGGGAAACTGGCAATCCTCTGTTTTAAGGTCCCTGTGCTACACGTGAAGTGGTGTAATGCTACATGTTTCAGGGTGGCCCTAGACTACTTAAAAATGCATGTTGTAAACTCAAGGGCAACCAAAAAACCTATAAGAAAGGAATTATAAGTTATACCATAAGTTAGGAGCTAAAATAGAAATATGAGGGGAAATTGGGAACTTGGTACAGGGAATTCTGTGCATTTTTCTGCAACTTTGCTAGTGTTCGAAAGTTATCTCTCAAAATAGTAGGAGTCCAATATGTTCCTTAAGTATAACTGCTTAATTATGAACTTGTCTCTTAAATAAAATGGGGGTGCATCTCTTGACCTCAGTTCTCAGATCGGTTGTTACAGAGACCCAGAGATCAGGCATCTGAAAAGATGGGTGCCATAGATGGAAAGATAAATACTAATATAAAATGTTGCGGTGAGTAAAGAGACTGTAGCTTCTCTGTACCATGTAAAAATTAGAGAAGAAAGCGCATAACATTAAAATTATGCTTAGTAATTAATTTCAGTGTTTTATCTTATTTATAAGTGACCTGGGTATCCAAAGAATACTATATTTTTAAAATTTTATTTATTTGTTTTGAGGGGAGGGGCTGAGAGAGAGGGAGAGAGAGAATCCCCTCCCTGGCCTTCAGACTGGGCCACGCCCTCCCCAGGCTTCTCCCAGCCAGTGACTGGAGGGTAGCACAGGGCTCTCTCTCCCCGCCTGCTGTGGGTCCCCCAGCGGGCGGCCTTTGCTCAGGAGCCCCCCTCAGCCTGGCATCCTCAGGGCTGCTCTGCAGTCTCAGCCTCTTTTTGCTCCATCCTGCCTCTCCCCGTCTCCCCTCTCATGTCAGACCCGCATCGCAGTTAGAATGCGCTCTCCTTCTACTCTTGCTTCCTTATTCGCCACTTTCTTTCTTTATTCGCCACGTTTCCCGGGCAGATCACTCATATGTCTGATTCCCTCTTGGTGTCTGTTTCCAGCAGAATCCAAAGTGACCCACAAAGAGAGTCTTCCTTTGAGCTCTTCTGGACTCCACTGATCAACAGCAAATGGGTCCTTTTCCAGGAATGAATTTTTATTCCTTCCATCTTCTGCAACGCTTACACACACATCAGTTTGCAAGTTTTAAGAGGTAAAGCAAAAATGATGATGTCAACAGAAAACCTGGGGAAAAGGAACGTAACAAGAACAACACGAAAAGGTGAGCCCCACCTGCTGCAGAGTATCATGCAGGGGACAAAAAGCACAGTCCGATGGCTGCTTTCTGCACCGGCGCCGGAGCCTTCTTCCATAACATCTTCAGGACTCAGTGGTTCTCGCTGCCTCGCTGCCACCCTGTTTATAGAAAACTAGGTTCAAATAAAACTTCTGATGGTTTCTAAATCTAACAGGCAACATAAAATTCTATTTCTTCTTTCGATACATGTCCCTTGCGTCTTTTTCTGGGGTCAGACTGTGGTTATTATTGTATATGTGGGTCTCATGCTGTGATGTGGCCACACCTGGTCTCTGGGATGCCACGGCAAAGCCTCTTAGACAGAAAAACTACACCCACAATAGCGGGAAGGCAGTGGAGCCTCAGACCAAATATGTATGGCTTCCAGCCCATAGCCCTTTGCATTAACAACCTTGGGATGTATGTACGGTAGCCAGAAAGGGCATGTTTAAGGAGATAAAATACATATCACTGAAAAGAAAAATAAAATACGTAATTATCTCCATCGAAATTTAAACATGATTTTTATAATATAACAGAAATCTGAAACGCTTCTGAATACGTGTATGTACAACATGTTCTTTTGTAGGACGGCTATGAGGATTGTAGGTTTTCATATGAAATGGTCAGAATGAGCATTTTACAGTTGGCTGGCTAGGACATCCCAAACCTCACACTCTGGATGAAGAAACTGATGATAAGAGAGATTAGGTAATTTTCTTTTTCCCCAGAAGTCAGATTGAGCTGATCAGGGCCCACATCTTCCTGGCTGGGAGCTTAGTCCCTCCTCCTCACAGGACGGCCATCTCTGAGAAGGCTTAGGGCCATGGCAATAGCATCTTATCACATGTCATGTCATCTTGTTCTCTGTGCTTAGTATTCTAACTTATGAAGCTTAGTGGCCTAGCACACAAGTCCCCGCAATCTTTGAGCGTCTCTACATCACTTACCTGATGCATGAAACGGTAAACCAAGGACCTTTCCCAGACCCTGGGTTGTAGCGGTCGACGTCTCAGACAGGAAAGCACGTCCTGGAATAAATTCTTACGATCTATATCAGAATACAGTAACCCTGTTGGATTCTCTACAACCTTAAATTTCATATCCTTATTTTAATTTTAATTTTAATGTTTTGGGAGAGAGAGAGAGTACACATGAGGGCACATGCACACACGAGATTATGGGAGGGGCAGAGGGAGAGAGAGAATCTGAGCCACCCAGTTGTCCCAAATTTCATATTCTTTTTAATGGTTATTTATTTTTGAGAGAGAGAGAGAGAGAGAGCGAGTGGGGGAGGGGCAGAGAGAGAGGCAGACACAGAATCCGAGACAGGCTCCAGGCTCTGAGCTGTCAGCACAGAGCCAAATGTGGGGCTCGGCCTCGTGAGGGTGAGATCATGACCTAGGCTGAAGCTGGATGCTCAACCACCTGAGCCACCCAGGAGCCCCTAAATTTCGTATTTTTAATGTTAAGTCTCCGCAAAAACAGTTTAGAAAACAATGCGAAGGTTTCAGTAAATTAAGACAGGTTAGCAAGACCTGCGGTGTTTTTGTTTGCTCCCATCTCCTACTTTGTGAGGGTTCCTGCTGCAAATAAACGAGACCCTTTTGTTTATTTGGAATGCTGCGCCGCCTTCCATGTTGCAGATAACAGACCTGTCTCGGAGGAGGTGAGCTGGTGGGGGCCGGCGTTGGGGGGCCCTGTCTAAGGTGGGAACATGACACCTGTGAGCATAGACAAATGTGAATAAACAGACATAGGCAAGGACAGGCTTCAGGAGCCAGACATCAATCAGCATTTCAAAGGGATTCCAAAGGTAAAGGTTCTAACTATTGGAAATGAGAAAAAGTCAAGATGTTGGTGATTGGCAATAACAATGAGTCTAGAGATTATAAAGTGTAGAGATGCTGGGGCGCCTGGGTGGCTCAGCTGGTTAAGCATCGAACTCTTGGTTTAGGCTCAGGTCACAATCTCATGGTTCTTGGGTTCCAGCCCTGCATCAGGCTGTGCTGACAGTGCAGAGCCTGCTTGGGATTCTCTCTTTCCTTCTCTCTGCCCCTCCCCTGCTCACTCGCTCCCTCTCTCTCAAAATAAATAAATGAATAAAAATTAAATTGGTAAATGCTGAGATTAAGGTCAGGAGCTGGGTTGGTTTGAGTTGAAGAGTCTTGAAGGAGGAGACAGGAAGCCAAGTCTTGAATGGCCCTTTTCAGGGGCCCCTCTCTGAAGCCTCCTCCTTCAATCCAGTGGTGTTTCCCAGGGCTGGTCCCCACCCAGCTCCTCCCCACGTCTTCCTCCATGCACTCCGCCTCTCTGGTGCACAGGGCATGGTGTTAAGGATAAACTTAGGGCAGTCAGGTAAGAGGGATGAGTAAGAGGAAGCAGCCAGATGTCTCTGTCCTAAAAACCCAGGGAAAAGGGGCTGTCTCCAGGCCTAACACATTCCCTTTACCTCAAATCCTTTAATTCTTTACAACCTGGGTGCTGGCCAAACTCTGAGGGAACCATCTCTCGGCAGGAGCGAGGGAAGGCTATTTTTGGGCACACGGATCCTGGAGAACAAAGTGTGTTGTAAGTGGTATTGACCCCACTATAAGGAAAGAAAACAAAGGAAAATATATGAGTTGTAAACATCCCATCCAAACTCCTTCAACCTCTTCTTTCAGAAAATCTTTCAGAATATGTGCTAAGAAACTATTTTAAAAACCTGATTTACTGGGGCTTTGTGTGTGTGTGTGTGTGTGGTTTTTGTTTGTTTTTGCTAGATGCAGGAGTCCATTGTTTACCTAGGAAGGCAGAATTCTTCCTTTTGAATCTGGCCTCCCAGTCAACACCAGGATGCATCCTGCTGAGGCACTGATAATCACCTGTCATTCTTGAAAAAACCATGGAGTTTTCCACTATTTTCCAGTGTAGGGGTTTTGCAATCAAATTTGTTTTCTTAGGATTTTGTTTTTAAGTAATCTCTATAACCAGCGTGGGGCTTGAACCCACTGTATTTCTTTTTTCTTTAAAAAAAAAACAATTTTTTCCAACTTTGTTTGTTTTTGAGAGACAGAGAATGAGCCGGAGAGGGGCAGAGAGAGAGAGGGAGACACAGGATCTGAAGCAGGCTCCAGGCTCTGAGCTGTCAGCACAGATCCTGACACAGGGCTTAAACTCACAAACCGTGAGATCATGACCTGAGCCAAAGTTGGATGCTTAACTGACTGAGCCGCCCAGACGCCCCAAACCTACCATATTTCTAAAATACATGGTATGGGGCGCCTGGGTGGCTCAGTCGGTTAAGCGTCCGACTTTCGCTTAGGTCATGATCTCGCGGTTCGTGGGTTCGAGCCCCGCGTCGGGCTCTGTGCTGACTGCCAGCTCAGAGCCTGGAGCCTGTTTCAGTCTGTGACTCCCTCTCTCTCTGACCCTCCCCTGCTCGCGCTGTCTCTCTCTCTGTCTCTCTCCTAGAAATAAATAAAACATTAAAAAAAATTAAAAAAAATACATGGTAATACTGGTTTAATTAATAAACTCTAATTGACCTTATGTTATGAATATAGGTTATGATTAACCATTAATCAGTTCATTTCAGTTTACTCATATTTAACCCTTAGCAGTATATAAAAACTAAGAGTCTAGAATTATATATTGCATTTTATTTCCAATTTTCAGGCAGTGTTGGGGACCCTCTTTGTTCTAGGTAAAGCCACATTTTCAAAATAAGTGCTTTGGAACAGTGTTTCTTAAATTCTAGAGGACTAAAGAATCCTTAGGGTGCCTGGGTGGCTCAGTCAGTTAAGTGTCTGACTTCAGCCTAGGTCATGATCTCGCTGTTCCAAAGTTCGAGCCTCGCATCAAGCTCTGTGCTGACAGCTCAGAGCCTGGAGCCTATTTCAGATTCTATGTCTCCCTCTCTCTCTGCCCCTTTCCCCCTCACATTCTGTCTTTCTCTCTCAAAAATAAACATTAAAAAAAAAAAGAAAAAGAATCCCAGGCCCGGGGTTTCTGATCCAGTAGTATGGGGATTGTGTCAGGGAAGAATAGGGAATTTGCTTTTCTTTTTTAAAGTTTATTTATTTATTTTAAGAGAGAGTACAAGCAATGCGCATGTGGGGGAGGGGCAGAGAGAGAGAGGGAGACAGAGGATCCAAAGTGGGCTCTGCGTTGACAGCAGTGACCCTGATGCAGGGCTTGAACTCACGAACCTTGAGATCATGACCTGTGCCCAAGTCGGAAGGTCAACAGACTGAGCCACCCAGGGGACCCGGGGAATTTACTTTTCCTATAAAGATGGCAGCCCATTTTGAGAAGCGCTGCTTTACCAGATTCCCTATTTATTCCCTCCTCATTATCATGATGCTCTTCACACTGAGTCATCTCAATCAGTCATGATAACATAACTGAAGAGAGAGAAGTTAGAAGAAATTTCGCTCTGCTTGACTGCTTGACTTTAAACTGTGCCCTTTGGTAAACTACTACTGGTCAGAAGAATAAACTCTGACAGATAGTACATCAGTAACTGAGACTGTACAGCTTGAATGAGCAAGACACATTTGGTATCTCAGTACAACCCTCAAACAAAGAAGATGTGCGGTGCTGTCTCGAGGGAGAGGTCATCCCGGCGGAAGCAGAGCCCCTCACCCCCAGAGAGGTTGCTGGCCAGTGACTGTTGCTGCTGATCGCATTTTCTCATCAGACCTTAAGTGTAACATGCGTGGATAATGGAGGAATACTTGAAATGATCTCACCTTCTCCTGGTTTGGCCCTTCTCCACTCAATTTGAATATGTGGTTTATCCAAAAGTTATACTGATTTAAAGAATATTATTTTTTTCTGTAGGCTTATTGGGGAGAATCCCTTGAGAGACCTGATCACTCCCCAGGACCAGTGACTGGCACTCCCTGACCCCAGTTCCTTTCTGGCTCTTGACCAGAGACACCAGTGCCTGACCTTGTGGGCTTGTCCACTGGGCAGCTCTCAACAGGGCAGCCGGCTTCTTCCAGAGCAAGTGATCAAAAGAGGGAGGCTGCGGTGGATGCCACAATCATTTTGTCACCTAACTTTGAAAGTTATACCTCTATATTTGCTTCTGCTATGTACTATTTGCTAGAGGCAGGTGGATAGTTCTAGCCCATATTTAAGAGGTAGGAAGATGACACAGGCTGGGGATCCAAGCAGGGAGGGGTCATCAGGATCACCTTAGAGGCTGCTTCCCACAAGCACATTTTTGCAGGTTCTCTACGTTCACAACAGTCTCTCCAATTTATTCTTCATAAAATTTCTCTAGTCAGTTTTGAACATTAAACCAACACCCACTGTGACTAGCCTTAATTATTGGCACATTTTAATAGTCATCGTTTCTGATTTGGGTAATGCTGTTGAAATTTTTGATCCCTTTAAATTTAGTAACTTGTTCCCTGGTTTTCCTATAGAATTGTTTTATGTAGAATATTAAAAAATGTTGAAAGGCCAATTTTGTACTTAAATGTATACTTTTTAGATCTTAAAATCAGAGAAATCATTGTCCATTTACTTTGAGGTGATTACATGATCACTAGCAGCTTCCTTATGGTATATATTTGCTTACAGAAACTTTCTTTGAAGTCATACAGGAGCAGCTAAGGGACAGCTGTCTGGGAAGACATGTCTGTTCCTTCCTCAAACTCAATGCTACGTCGCCTGGGGAATCGCAGGTGCAGGGTCACACATCACTCACCTGAGCTCACTTGGATTCCGCTCTGATAGCAGTGAGTGCAGGGCAGAGGTGGCGCAGGTCCATTAATCCGCATGTGACCACACTCTTGCACTCGAGTGTGTCCTTGGCCTTATGAGGCCTCAGCTTCCTCTCTCAGTAGTTAGACAGTCTTAATACAATACCAAAAACACATGTGATTAGAGATAAATTTGTGTTCATAAAGATGCAAACATTTTGAACTTCAAGAAAACCACTGATAAACGAAAAACACGCCCCAGATCGGGACCCCAAAATTTCAAAACAAACGTATGATACATTACTTGTATCCAAAGTATATTTTAAAAGCTTACAGCTCAATTACAGGAACACAAAAATGCAATAAAATTTTGAATAGACATTTCATCACAGAAGATGTATATTGAATGGCCAATAAGCACATGGCACATTTTTCGGTATTATTAGCCACCAGAGACATGCAAACAAAAGCCACACTAAGACACCGTTCACAAATGTTATGGTAAAAGCGACGGTCAGTAACAAGTGCGTGAGAGGCCGTGGAGAAATGGGAATGCTCATCCACTGCTCACGGGAATTTAAAACGGTGCAGCCACTGTGGAAAACAACCTGTTACTTATTTAAAAATTAAGACATAAATTTACCATATAACCCAGCAATTACTTTCCTGAATATCCACCCAAGAGAAATGAAAATATGTGTCTGTGCAGAGACTCGCGCATGACTGTTCATGGCAGCGTGATTTGTAACGGCCAAAACGTAGAAATAATCCAAATGCCCATCCAGCTACAGCAAAGATAAACCTCAGATATATCACGCTAAGTGCCTTTTTACAAAGCCCAGATTGTGAAATTCATTTACATGAAATGCCCACAAAAGGCAAACCTGCAGAGGCAGACAGTACATTAGTGATCACTTTGGTTGGAGTGGGAATAAAGTCGGAGGCATCTTAGGTGGTGATGGAAATGTTCTAAAATTGGATTGTGGGAACAGGTGCACAACACTACACATTTATAGAAATTACTGAATTGTGCACTAAAAAAATTGGGTGACTTTATGAGATATATATAAAATACTATATATTATATGTACACTATATGTTATATAGTATTTATATAATACTATATTAGCTATGTATATACTTTGTATCTTATATTAGCTATGTGTATATGTATGCGGTAAAAAATAAAATGGTGACCTTCAGGATTGCTGTGATAAGTAGAGTTTAAGTGCTCGGTACTTCGGGGCTGGTCAATAAATTGCTGTTGTCTTAATTTCTGACTCTGCCATTATTTCAACTTAGTAACTGTTCTGCAATACTATTATCCTAAAAGACTAATGCTGCATATGTATTAAAAAAATGGAGTGCTAACCTACGCTTTTTGCCATTGTCTTGTGCCATTTAGGTAAAAAAAAGAATATGAAAATTGTATGATATTATCACCAACAGATGGAATTATGCCATGATTTGCCTACACCTTATCAATATTTGAGATTATTTTCTCTAAATTCTAATCCATGAAGTAAAAGCTAATCATTTCTGTTAGAAGTTTTCACTTCGCAGTGAAACCAAATTATTTAATAGTATTTGCATCAACTGAATCTTAGAAAGTCATTTATAATTTTAAAACTTTGGTAGTTTTCTTTTATAATGCTCTTGTGAAATATAAAAAAATATCTTTTTAGCTTATAGTCTATAATTAGAGATACAGCCAGGAAGAGAAATAAAAACTGAAATCCCAATAGCAGAATGAATTTTACAGGCTAATTAGAAACTTTGAGAGCCTCAAATTTTAATTAACACTTTCCGTTTGCAAATTAGCTATAGAAATGGTTGCATTTTGCTGCCCTTCTCTCCATAAGAAGCATATTTTAAATAGTGAATGGAGAAAACAAAGTGGGACAAAAAAACAAGAATGCAAATATTTTGTTTGCTTTATGTATTCTTGAGCTTCTCCTCCAAGCTTCATGCCTGCTTCTTTTCATCACTAACGAAAAGCCTCTGCCAAGATAGGGGTAAAGCAGTGAGAAAGCACCAGTAAAACCAAAGTTCTGAAAACAATTTTAACAAGAACAGTAATGCTAAATACCTAGAATTTTGTTTCATTGCAGAGTTACTTAGCTCCCTGTTAGACAGAGGCTAGTTGTGGTCACGTTCTTCAGATTTCAGCATAAGCCACGAGGGTGCTGGATGCCAACAAGAAAATGCCCAAGTTGATGAAAATCTTCTTTCTGATTTATTTAGATAAACCCTGGGATCATCTGTGATTTTAAGAGGCAAGAAGATACATTCTGAATATAAAAATTCAAGAAAGTTTAAGCAACAAGAAGTTACACTACTCAGTGGGAAACAATGGACAAAATTCAGGTCAGTGTGGCCCTTTTGGGGCAGGAGGGAGAGGAGAATAAACACGGGGAAGTGGTGTCCATGTCCTGCGGATCCAAGAGGTGCTCATGAAATTAGGCCAGCGGCTCGCCTCAGAGAGGAAGAGAAGCCCATGGGGCTAACGGTCACCTGTGATCCCTGTTCTCCACCCTGAGATCTATTGCAAGGAAACTTCCGAGGACCTGACTAATTGCTGTAACGTGTAACCCACCCTCTCTTCTTGGTGCTGGGACTGTCTCCCCCCTCCCCCCTGATATTTATTGTTCAATGTGTCCCATGTTCTCTGTCTGGAAGAAACTTTCCACTCCCTTCATCTGTGAATTTTCTGATAACCCCCTGCAGCCCCTTCCAACCCCGTGATCTTCATAGGAGATGCCAAGTTCTTAGCTGACACTTGACTCAATGTGGGATGATCAGATTTTTTCCTGAGGAATTTGAAATGGGGCTAAAGTGTTTCAATTCCTCACTCCCATCTGATTCATCTCTTGAACAAAAAAACATAAACTCAGCTGGCTACACTCATTGAAGGAATGAAAACACCATTCCACCCAGAGGCATAATAATAAAGCGCACTTGCAGAAGAAAGCAGAGAAAAGGGAAAAAATATTGCTTTCTTTGACTTAGGACATTAAAGTTGGATTTCTAGAATTTTTAAAAAAATTATTACCTGACATATTTCTAATACCAAGATTATAGTTGTAGTAAATGTCCATTGGGTCCCTCACCCCTCTTTCTGTAGATGGCATGTGTTCACTTCAGGTTTAAAAACAAACTGTGGAACCTCCAAAAAACTAGAAGTAGAACTACCCTACGCTCTAGCAATTGCACTATTAGGTATTTACCCAAAGGATACAAAAATACAGATTTGAAGAGGGTACATGCACCCCAATGTGTATAGCAGCATTATCAATAATAGCCAAACTATGGAAAGCCCAAGTGTCCATCGACTGATGACTGGATAAAGATGTGGTGTGTACACACACACACACACACACACACACACACACACAGAGGAATATTACTCAGCCATCAAAAAGAAGGAAATCTTGCCATTTTCAATGACACGGATGGAGCTAAAATGTATTATGCTAAGTGAAATAAGTCAATCAGAGAAAGACAAATACCATATTTTACTCATATGTGGAATTTAAGAAACAAAACAGATGAACATATGGGCAGTGGGTGGGGGGTGGGGAGAGGGAAACAAACCACAATGATAGAGAGGCTACCTTAATGATAGAGCACAAACTGAGGGTTGATGGAGGGAGGTGGGTGGCAACTGGGCCAGATGGGGGAGGGGTACTAAGGGGGGCGCTTGTTGGGACAAGCACTGGGTTTTGTATGTAAGTACTGAATCTCTGAATTCTACTCCTGAAACCAATATCACACTGTGTGTTCACTGACTTGAATTTAAAATTAAAAAAAATTATTACAGGAAAAAACAAAGAAGACAAAACAAAAAACTCTGTTGTCTTTAAATATTCAAACTGATTTCATGTTGAAGCACACACGCCTTCACACATTGAAGGACAAAGCTCTCAGAGAATGATTTTTAGACCAAGGCCACCCTTCTCAATGACAGACAACATAAAATAAAAAATCACTGGACATTAAATCTTTTCTTATCAGTTGAATGAAGTCTTGCCTTCTTCCTCTGTCAAACTGCATTTGATGTATGAATAAGAAATAACTTTTGTTCTTTATCTGCTAAGATTTCTGGAGTTTTGGTGCCATCACATAAACTCACCTCTCCTCATTGGCATAATTATGCCCATATATATTGGTATTATTGACTGGTGTACAGCCCTAAATTAAGTCAGCCACATGAGCAGAACCTTAATAAACGTTGAAAGAAATGAATTTGTTTGGGAATATTTTCCTCCTAACATTTTCAAATTATCATGGCAATGTGATGTCAACTATGTTTTCGCAAATCTCAATCATCAATTTCTTCTTCATGGAACACTCACATGGTCCTTGTTCTCTTTCACCCAGTTTAGCACCACATATTTCATGCCTTTTATTTTTCCCAGCTCTGTGTTTTATTTTTCTCTACACAGTTGGAAACTTTCATGCAAGGCCCAGTTCTCAGTATGGACTTCTGTTTCTCCTTATTTGGTTCACCGTAAGGGTCGTAAACCACTTCCGCTGACCCTGCCTGAACATTCTGTCTTTTGTTCTGCATGATCCTAGCTGACGATTCCAACTCTTTTCATTTTGAATCATTCAGAGAGTATGCGTTGCTGGGTTTCCTCCTGCAAGTGCATTCTCTTGGGAAGTAGGGTCTCTCTCCAGCCCTGGATTTGATCTTCACCTTTGTTAAGGATATTTAAGACCCATTGCATGCGACACTGCATCCTGGTTCAGTTCTCTGTAATCCTTAAAACTGTTTTTCCTTTCCACATCCTAGAGTCCACCTTCTTCCCCCTTTTCCTTAAATTTATTTTTGAGGAAGAGAGAGAGAGAGACAGAGTATGAGTGGGGAAGGGGCAGAGAAAGGGAGACACAGAATCCCAAGCAGGATCCAGGCTCTGAGCTGTCAGCACAGAGCCCGATGCGGGGCTCAAACTCAGGAACCATGAGATCGTGACCTGAGCGGAAGTTGGATGCTTAACTGATGAGTCACCCAGATGCCCCAAGAAGGGTCAGTTTAAATCATTGTGTGGATTGAGGCGCCTGGGTGGCTCAGTTGGTTAAGTGTCCGACTTCGGCTCAGGTCATGATCTCACGGTTCGTGGGTTCAGTTGGGCTCTGTGCTGACAGCTCAGAGCCTGGATTCTGTATCTCCCTCTCTCTCTCTGACCCTCCCCTGCTCACACTGTTTCTCTCTCTCTCTCAGAAATAAATAAAACATTAAAAAAATTAAAAAAAAATAAATCACTGTGTGGATAACATGACTTTAAGTTGAGCCAAATAAGGCTGAATGAGCTCACTCAGAAAATTCCAGCAGGAGAAAAAAGCCCTAATACTATCTTGTACAGGCAAACTCTGGACAAAAGCTTTGTTTGTTTATTTTTTCACTAATAGTTTGCTTGAGGCATATAATTAACTGTACAGTGGGTTGAACAGTTGAACAGAAATTCATGTTCTCCCAGAACCTCAAAATGTGACCTTATTGACAATAGGTCTTTGCAGATAGATTTAAGGTAAAGATCAAGATGAGATCCCGTTGGATTAGCACGGGCGCTAAACCAGGTGAGTCTGTCCTAATAAGAGGCAGAAAAGGACACAGAGACACCCAGGAGAATGGCGTGTGAGGACAAGGGCAGAGATTGGAGTGATGCGTCTACAGTTTGAGAAATGGGGAAGGGCGGAGAGAGAGAGAGAGAGAGAGAGAGAATCCCAAGCAGGGGACTCGGGGCTTGACCCTTCGAACTGTGAGACGGTGACCTGAGCTGAAATCAAGAGTCAGACGCTCAATGCCCTGAACCACCCAGGCGCCCCAAGGCCTGACTGTCATGAAGAGAAAGGAAAAGCATGGATGTTCAGGGCGATTGTGGTGGCGATTCAGAAAGAAGCCAGAGGCCAATGCTGAGAAAGTTTCTCATTGTGAACATTCAGTTGTTCATGAACAGAATCTTGGCAGAAATACAAATGTCAAAGGTGCTTCTGGTGAGCTCTCCGAAAGAAATGAGGAGCATGTTATCGGGAATTGGAGAAAAGGTCACCTTTGTTATAACGTGGTGGAAAACTTGCCTGAATTGTGTTCTTTTGTTCGGTGGAAAACAGAATTTACAAGTGATAGCCTTGGATATTTAGCTGAGGAGATTTTGAAGCTAAACTCCTTTCTGTGTTTAGCACAATTTTGTGAGGAAAGAGACAATTTGAGGAGGGGATTGCTTGGCAAAGAGGAACTAGCACTTAATTGTTTGGAAGATTCCAGGCCAGTCCCGATGACAAAGGATGGGAAGATGAGGCCATTCGCTATGGGGAATTGTGCTCAAGAGAGGAGGCCAAGAGGGAGGCTGGGCAAGCTTTAGCTGGAGAGATCAGGCGGGGGCCTCCCAGATCCACTCAACCGTCTCAGCAGAGGCAGGAAGAGGGATGGGGTTTTGTAGGAGAGATCTAATGTCGTGGGTCCTGGTGACGTATACCACAGCCCAACAAGGTTCTTGAGAATGCTGCCTCAGCAGAAAACTCCCAGCTTCCTCTGAAGGAACAGAGACAGGAAGGCACGAAGGGGAGGCTGTCAGACTTCTGGGACTCCATAAGCAGGAAATGGGCTTGCAGAACTATGTGGTGACAAACACGGGTTGTCCTTCAAAAACAATGAAGAACGACTCCAAAGACAGAGATAAGAACTTGAAGGCAGAGGCCGGAGAAGCAGGCTCAGGGCCAAGGGCCAATAGCACAGCCCAGTAGAGCCCCGGGGAAAGGGCGTCAAGCCTAACAGGACGTTCCCAGCTTGGAAAACTCACGGGATTTCCTCTGCTGGGTTTGGACTTGCCTGGTGACCTGTCTCTTCCTTCCAGTTGCCTCTATGGAAACAGGAATGTCTGTCCTGGGCCTGTCCCACCATTCTGTTCTGGAGGGAGATGGCTGGTTTCTAGCTTCACACGTCCGTGGATGGAAAGAAAGTTTTCCCAAGCATGGCCCCTACCCACCGTCACCGCCATGCCTCATGTAGATGATTCAGAGGTTGAGATTTGGGACTTACAGGTGATGCTGGGGTGGGTTAAGACCCGGGGGGATGTTGGGACAGGACGAAATCATTTGGCACAGGGGAGGGAGGTCAACATTTACTACCTGGCAGGAGATGTCATTCTCTACTACTCTGTTACTCAGAGTTTCACTAAATTTTTAAATTTTCCCATGGGAACTTCAGAATTGGCTTGATTAAAGGACCACACCATTCACTAAAAGAAAAAAGGAAAACCAAAAGCTGTTGGTGTTTTCATCGGGGTCACACTAAATGTATAAATGAACTTAGGAAGAGCTAATATTTTAATTACACCAAGTCTATCAACTCAAAACTAGTGTTCAAGGCAGACTTACCTGGCCAAGTTACTATCGATTTCTTTTCCCCTCTACCCATATTCCTTGAAATGCCTCTCTGTGTATATGACAAATCTATTTCTTTGTCATCTCAGTTCTATGTATTTAAAAGATACAATGTAGAATTAGTGATTCTGATCACAAGCTGTCTACAGTTTCATAATGGACATAAGATGTCTGCATTTATAATTCAAATTTGGGAGATAAAGTAGTAAGAATCCAACAAAACCAGAAAAGCTTCTTCAGGATCTCAAGAGCCTGGAAGCAAAGGTTAAAGGTCTCCATTTCCCTTTCCTATTTACTGGACTATTTATTAGATGAATGTACAAATGGGCGGTGCAAAGTGGGAAGGGTATGGACTTTGAACGGGCAGACCTGAATTCATCGCCTGTGAGCAGGGCTCTGGTAAGGGAACTTGCCTTGAATTCTGGAACCAGCTTTCTTGCCTGCCCAGTGGAAATACTCCTATCTTCTTTTTAGAGCTCTTACAGAGATGAAAAGAAAACTCTTCGTAAAATATCTATTAAATAATGCATGCCCTTTAAATTGTACTGTCTCTTCTGATACACTTTGGGTCTAACGTTCAGTGAGTCCCTCACAATGGACACAGTCCACGAAGGAAATACATTTATTCAAATGTACTTTGAGAACTATAAGTCTTTTTTTTAAAAAAAAATATTCATCTAGAGATATAGAGGAAGAGAGAAAGAGGGCGTGCAAACAGGGGAGAGGCAAAGAGAGACGGGGAGACAGAATTGCAAGCAGGCTCCACACTGTCAGCACAGAGTCGGTGGTGGGGCTTGATCTTATGAACCCATGAACTGTGAGGTCACTTGAGCTGAAATCAAGAGTGGGATGCATAACGGACTGAGCCGCCCAGGTGCCCTGAGAACGGTCTTAACGCGTGTCATGTTTGTTACAGATGGAAATTGTATGTCCTTCTTTAAAGTTACTAAATATCAAACAATAGGCATCATTACTAAAAATCAAATAAATAGAACAAAATAGACTTACCTTGTATCAAACAGAAGTTTTCCTCATGGAGGTTTTGTACATTACTTCAAAACATTCTTGTCGTATCTTTTGATTTTTTTTTATTGACCTTGTTATGTAAATGAGGTAGTTTCTTTCCCATTTCTTCTCAATGGTTGTTGATTAAAGATGTATCTTTTTATAGTGCAATTCAGTCTAGAATAGAATTCTGCAAACCAGGCGAAAGTGACACAGTTATAAATGCAGATTTTCTTCTGCAACTCGGCTAAGTTAATGTGGACTATTAATCCATAGCTTCTTATCACAAGTTCATGAAGGGTGTGGATGTCTAGAATATAATTATGCCGCAGCTCTGTTGATAATTGTAAAACTATTGATCTCCCTTCATTCATCTTATTTTATCTCCTTAAATTTTTATGGATTTAACCATAAACCCATAGTTCTCCAAAAGATAAGTTATTGCTGACAGTGTCAGGGTTGTGTAGTAACTGTATAATGAATTGTTCCTAAGAATCACAAAATTCTTGAGACTTGATTTGTTAAAGTGACAGATGGAAAGAACATCTCTTTTAAGCATTAGTTGCTGGTGGGAAAAGCAAGATTAAAACTGTAATATCCATTGTGTGTGAAGGGTTGGTTTTTTTTTTAACAGCTTTATTGAGATAAGATTGCACATACCGGGGCGCCTGGGTGGCTTAGTTGGTTAAGTGTCCGACTTTCGCTTAGGTCATGATCTCACGGTTCGTGGGTTCGAGCCCCGCGTCGGGCTCCGTGCTGACTGCCAGCTCAGAGCCTGGAGCCTATCTCAGAGCCTGTATCTCCCTCTCTCTCTGACCCTCCCCTGCTCACGCTGTCTCTCTCTCTCTTTCTCTCCTAGAAATAAATAAAAATAAAAAAATAAAATGTTTAAAAAAAAAGATTGCACATACCATAAAATTCACCCATTTAAAGTGTACAGTGTTCTTCAAGTAGAGTAACAGGGCGAAAAACCATCATGACAATCTAATTGTAGAACATTTTCAGTACCCTCCCAAGGAAATTGACACTCACTATCAGATACTCCGTATCTTCCATACTGCACCCCACCCTGTGCTTACTATAACTAGTAATGTTACTAAAACACTTCCTGCCTCTAGACATTTTGCCTCTTCTTGAAATGTAATATAACTGGAATCATAGCATATCTGGTCTTTTGTGACTGGATTCTTCTACTTAGTGTAGTATTTTCAAGGGTTCATCCATGTTTTAGGACATAACAGTACTTCTTACACTGAGTATTTAATTGTTTGGTATCCCATATTTCCTGTATCCCTTCATCAGTTGATGGACATTTGATTGTTTCCACTTTTTGGTTCTTATAAATAATGCTGAATATTCACATGCAAATTTTTCTGCGGACCTCTGTTCTCACTTCTCTTGGGGTTATATTTACCAGTGGGATTGCTGGATCCTATGATAACTCTGTGTTTAACATTTTGAGGAACTGCCGAACTGTTTTCTAAATGTCTTTATTTTGGAGAGAGAGAGAGAGAGGTGGAGAGAGAGGGGGACAGAGGATCTGAAATGGGGTCTGTGCTGACAGAGCCCAATTCGGGGCTCCAACTCACGAACCATGAGATCATGACCTGAGCCCAAGTTGGGGTGCTTAACCGACTGAGTCCCCCAGGTGCCCCTGCCAAACTGTTTTCTAAGGCAGATGCATCATTTTATATTCCCATCTGCAATGTATGAGAGTCTCCATTTCTTCACATCCTCACCCACACCTGCTTTTGGTTGTCTTTTTATTTTAGCTATCCTAGAGTGTCTAAAGAGTATCTTCTTATGGTTTTGGTTTGCATTTCCCTAATGACTAATGATTTTAAGCATTTTTTTGGTGCTAGTTACCACTTGTATATTTTCTTTGGAGAAATTTCTATACAAGTCCTCTGCCCATTTTCCCTACTGGATTAGTTATCTTATTGACTGGTATGAGATCTTTATATATTCTGGATATAGTGCTCTGTAAATATTTTCTCCCATTCCGTGGTTTGTTTCTATTTTTTTATAGTACTAATTATTTGGTACATAGAAGCACAAGGTTTTTAATTTTGATGAAGTCCAATTGATCCATTTTTTCAATTTTTTTCTGTGTGCCTTATCTAAGAAGTCATTGCCTTCCCCAATCATGAAGATACATTTTTATGCTTTCTTCTAAGATAAAGACGCTGCACTGAATGTGTCCTACTGCATCCGAGACGCACCGCACTGAGTGTCCTTGAATGCAAGCTGACCTGGTGCAGGGAGCTTCCGGGAGGAGGGAGCCAGCCCTGGGATGGGGGCGGGGGGGGGGGCTGCAACAGCGGAGAGGAAAGCCTCTCAGGGGCAGGAGCGGTTAGGCAAGGGTGAAGAAGCAGGTAGGGAAGAAGGACACCACGCCACGGGGCCAGGGTCAGAACCGCTGGGGGTCACGGCCTCAGTTTTTACGAAGGAGGAATGTTAAGACTATGCCTGCAGACTCGGCATTTGTTGTGCAGTCCGGAAATCCCCTAACTAGAGTAATGTGCTGTGACCCACCTCCCGCTGTCCCTTCAATAGACAACTGAGGCAGAGGCATCAGCAAGTTCCCGTCGGTGGCAGGAAGTGCCCACCTGAGGGAAACAGAGGGGGGAACCTGGAGGGCACGGGTGCGGTGGCCCCGCCCACGTCACCACTCACTGTGGGTACACAGCCAGGCATCCTCGCTGTGCTCCAGGAGCCGGACCTTGCCCGAGACACTCAGCAGGGCAGGGTGGGGGCAGATGGTCCCCGTGGCCCCCTTATTTCCTCCAGCCAACAGAGGGGCCCACCTGAGCCAAACCAAATCACCGTTCCCACTTCCCGAATGCTGTCACGTTCAGACTTTGGTGTTGCTTGTTACAAATATGTCCAATGTAGAAAGTTATGCTAAAATGGTAAAGAAATGAAACCCTTTGGAAGTAAGCATACTGAAGCCTGAACTCCTTATGGGAGTTGGGGTTTTGAAGAACGTGTATGTCTGCCTAAATCATTCTGTATTTCCCAAATATTTTCTAATAACCATGAATTACTTTTATAATTAGAAAAAAAATTTTTAACTAAATAGACAAGGAAATTCTACATTATTTCAGATTTCTTGATTTTGTAGCAAAAAGAGAAACTGCCAAGGAGCGCCTGGGTGGCTCAGTCCTTGAACATCTGATTCTTGATTTCAGCTGGGGTCATGATCCCAGGGCTGTGGGATGGAGCCCCGCCTGCTTGAGATTCTCTCTCTCCCCTTAGGCCCTTCTCCCCCATTCACACTCTCTCTAAAAAGGGAGAGAGAGAGAGAGAGAGAGACTGCTGGGAGTTCCCACATTTGCCACGTTTCAGTCAATGGTCCCAGACTCTACAGTGTCCGAGAGGCCAGCATTAGTGTACTGCACAACTGAAACCTGAATCCAAATCTTTGGATCCCGTTTGATAGGCTTTCCATTAACAGTGTTTGTATCTTGACCTGAATATGCTTTATTTACTGGTGGGAATAGGCTGATTAGAAGTACTGGTGGGTGGTCTGGGTGGCTCAGTCCATTAAGCTTCCAACTTTGGCTCAGGTTACAATCTAAGGTTGGTAAGTTTGAGCCCCACATCGCTCTTCTGTGAGCACAGAGTCTGCTTTAGATCCTCTGTGCCCTTCTCTCTCTGTCCTTTCCCTGCTTGTACTCTCTCTCTTTCTCAAAAATAAACATTAAAAAAAAAAGTACAGGTGGTGGGGCTTCCCTGTTACCCGCGACCTGCAGGTACCTGCGGCCACAGGCGTTTCTGGGCCAGGAACAAGGGACAGGTGCTGGTGTTATATGTAGACGATAAAGGTGGAAGGGCACTACCTCGTATTGATCGCCCTGCGAGCCCACCTCGCAGTCTGAAACCTCCTTCACGTTTTCTGCGGCTGAAACACGACTCCGTTCATCAGTGCCCTGCCGCTTCCTCAATTTCCTCCAACCGGGGGAAGGTTCCAGCGCCTCACACGCGGGGCTCCCACCTGCTGCGGTTTTAAATAATGAACACACAAAAGATTTCATTTTCCCATTTGCTGAGGATTTTATGGGGTTTCTTACAGTAAATATAAAGACATATTTTTTCTATACTTCATAGCATAAAAAATATGTTAGTATCGAGTAGACAACTAGATATTGGTATCATTGATCCCACTTCCTGTTATTTATGATATTTGCTTTTAACTGAGCAGTTCATCAATCGATGTATACAGTACATCAAATAGATAAACTGTTTTGGGCTTATGTTCTCTAGTGGGTTAATAGAGATAACTGGAGATGTGAGCAGCTCATATCATACTTTTAATATCCTATTATTTTCTGACACAGATAATCCAATTTCTGATTCTTTAACTAATTTAGAGAATTTTTTATGTTATTTCCAAAATGCATTAATAAAGGACTGCTAATCACTTTTTCCATTAACTGTAAACTCCATTAATTGGGGCTTCAGAATCGTGTGGTATGAACCGAGGTTCTATAAAAAGCATTTAATAAATATTTGTTGTATGAATATATAAGCTGATTAATGATGGTGAGGCATGATAGTGCTGAATAGTCAACTTTTCAAAAGTTTTATTGCCATTAATTAAAAATTTTTTTCTTTACATTTCAGTGTGCATTTTGTCTGTTTTTCATGTATAGCTGTGTATGTGTGTATAACTTGCTATACTAGACATTTAATTTTTCCACTGTTATCCACCATGCACTGAACCTACTCACTCGAGTAAAAGAATACAAACAGAAAGTGCAACACATTTGGGAGCTATTTTCACATTTTAAAATTTCTATATATTTCTTTTTTTAAAGTTTATTTATTTATTTTGAGAGAGGGAGAGGGAGAGAGAGAGTGCAAGCAGGGCAGCAGCAGAGAGTGAGGGAGACAGAGAATCCCAACCAGGCTCCATGGAGCCCAATGGGGGGGCTCACATCCACTAACTGTGAGACCATGACCTGAGCCAAAATCAAGAGTTGGACGCTCAACTGACTGAGCCACCCAGGCGCCCCAATTTCTATGTATTTCTCATAAAATGAAAGAAACTATGCTTTTGTTGTTCACAAGTTATAAGAAATGTAGTAAGAATATATGTATAAAACTAGAATCCGAGCATGAAAAGGTGCCAAGGACTGTGGGATGGCAGTGGCTTTGAAAGCATGTCCAGGAGGAGCTGGTTATGATGCTCTCAAACCTCTCTTCTTGCCTGTGTCCACAACAGAAGTTCTGCAATGGAAGAGAAACAGGGGAGGCTGAGGAGGTAAAGTGTTAGAGGCCCCTTGCAATGAAGAACAATCAAAGTTAAGAATAACCTCAAAAATATTTGAGAATGAGGGAGAGTTTCTTTAGTGTGTTTTAAGAAGATTAGTAGCTACAAATCACTGGGAAAATGTGGAATCTTAATATTGGAATCAAATATTGGGATCATAATCAAATTGATATGAAGTTTAGCCCTTCTTGAAAATAATTAGGATAGAAATGTATGTTCCTGGGTGAGAGAGTTCTTCATGGCAGACCAATGCTCTCACTAACAACAACTAGGAAAAGTGGAATAAATTATACAACATTATGTGTTTGAAGGCATCAGGTAGATGGGGAAACAGCAGAATTGAATGAACTAAAATTTCCAAGAGGGTAAACTTTTCACTGCGAACTAATGATAAGCACTTGTTATTTCTCCCACTGGCAGAGTTTGACCAAGCAGAGGACTGGGCTACAAATGGAAAAAAAAGAAAACTAACAAAAATTTTAGTGGTCACATGGAGCTGAATTCACAAAATTGGAGAATCCAAGGGGACCCCAGAAAGCACTTTCTGATTTCTACATGAGAGAGTAAAACACATATTCCAGAATCTTCTGAAAGGCAGTTAAATCTCCACTAACCTCACAATCCTTAGGAAGCAAGCATCCTTCCGGACCCTCCAGCCTGGTGAAGGTGAAGAGGGCCAGAAAATAAAACAGACCTGAGAAGAAAGTTCTAGAAAGAGTGGTGAATTGGCCCCAAGGAATACAGCTATGTCTTACTTGGATATATTTTGTGCTTTTATTGGAGAGCATCTGCTGGGGGACAGAGAAATTGGGAGAGATTTAAAAATTTAGCAAAACACATTTAAGAATCAGCCATGCTATTTTGTGAACCAACAGCTCACTGTCTCATTTCTGCATAGAATTCCATTGTACAGGTAGACAGCGTGTTAATCTTTTCATCTGCTCAAGGACATCTTGGCTGTTTACAGTCTTTGCCAACTGTGAATGGCAATTATATTCATGTAAAACATTTATTGTTCTCATTTTAGCAATTCTAATTGTGAGATCTCATTGTGTTTTTAATTTGCATTTCCCTAAACACCAATGATGTGGAGCTTTCTGCTATACTCCACTGATATATGTTTTTTTTTTTCCATTGATATTTTTATTCCAGGCTAGTTAGCGTGGTGCTGGGAATGAAGGCTGGGTGATGGTGGAATTTTCTGATTTTCTAACTGAACCTCAGTTTTGGGCAATCACTCTAAACCTTGGCCTTAAGACCAAGGTAGTGTTCCTACCTCTCTAGAAATAGAAGTTCATTTTCCCCTCTTTCATGTTGAGTGGGTTTCCATTACTACCCCCGCCTTTGGTTTTGTCACTGTTCACTCTGCAGACTGAGGTTTTTATTCACTTGAAAGATAAGGGAGAAGGAACTGGGTCGATTTCAGTGGTGGTCTCCATTCCCTTTCCCCAGGGCCCGAACTGTGGTTTAGCTCATCTTCTGTCTTGGGTGAGCAAATGTGCTGGTGCTGTTTTCCCCAGAGGCACCTGTCTCTGTAGCTATGACTTGAGTTCTTTTGTGGCCTCATAAAAATTAGTCGACTTCTAGCTTTATAGCTGTTTTCTTACTTTAAGGATGGGAGTGATGCTCTTTCTAACTCTCTGTATAACCAATCTAAAAATCAGAATTCCATTTGTCAAATTTTGAAGCTGTTGGCTGATAGACTAAAGAACTAAGCTGTAAAATCCTTAAAGGATAAAAGTGGATCTCCTAAACCCATCTTCTGTGTTTTAATTTTAGATACTATATTTTTTAATTCTAGAATATCCACTTTAGGGCTATGGTGTTTGGAAGACCTACCAATCTTTCAGTTAAAAGCTATTGAGGGCCCCACCCTAGAGGAAGGTTGAGGGAGAGTTAATCTAAATCTTATACAACCTGAAATTTAGTAATTAGATGAGAGTTGCCAATCACTGACTGTTTCTGCCTGATAGAAAAGATAGTTAAGTGATGGAAAATACTATCTGGACCCTCAAAGTTTCTTTTGTCCAAAATATGCTGCATCAATTCAAAATTACAAGACATGTAAAGAGGTAATATGGAAAAGCTAAAATCAACAAGACAAAAAAAGTAAAATAACAAAACTCTAAAACAAGTCTGATAGATGATCCAGAAAATAACCTCTGCAAAAAAGGCATTGTAATAATTATAATTAATGTGCTGAAGAAAATAGAGGATAGACTTAAAAATGAACGGATGGAGATTTTTTCCCAAAGAATTAGACATCATATAAAAATTGCTTATAACTGAAGAACATGTATATGAAATTAAGAAAAGAACAGATAGGCTTAAGAGAAGATTGGATAGAATAAGATTCCTGAACTGGCTAATAGAAAATGTCCAAAGTATGATGCAAAGAAAATAAAGAATAGAAAAAGAGTAGAAGAGACTCATGTCCAAAGTTCCCAGTATGCATGCAATTGGAGTCCAAAGAGGAGGAAATAAAATGGAGAAGAAAAAATATCCCAAGAGATATTTTATCTATAAATATATCATAGCAATGATATCAGCAAAATGACAAACTAGAAAGTTCCAAGGACTGATTGCTCCATATAACACACACACACACACACACACACACACACACACGCATGCACACCAGAAGCTGTATAGGAATCAATTTGGAAGAGTTGTGAAAACAGTAAAAGGCTTATAAAAACCAAGCAAGAGCCATCCTAACCCCATCTCCTGCCAGACGTGACCTGGTGAGAGTCTTGGTGTTAAGCAGGTAGAGACTTGGTTCCCAGCGCACTCCTCAAATTAGAGGAAGTGGAACAGATTAAAACTTTTTTTCTCAAGTTATTGTGTACATCTGCTGTGATCTGAGGATACCTGAAAGACTGATGTAAGGCGTTCATTTCTGTCTTGCATAGCTTGGAACATAGGAGGAAAAGTAGCGGACCGTCTGTAAAAGCCAGAAGAGAACTATACGCACAGATGCCGGATGCAAGGGATTACAGGTGGGAATACAGAATGGACCATCTAAGGCCCAGAGAAGCTGGGGTTCGACTCTTGGAAATTAGGATATTCAGAAGCGGCCGCATATACGGGGAGAATTTAGAGAACCATGTGCAAACAAGATGTATGCTCGAAAAAGTTCTGAGAGTACATTAAGCTTTCTCCCTGGCTGATGGCTGAACCAAGAGGTCTCAAAGCAAGCCTTGCTCTAAGTGCTGAAGAAATGCCCCAGCGCTGAGCCAACCTGGAACAGCAGCGAAAAGAGGTTGTTCACTTTTGGGGTTTATTTATTTATTTATTTTTGTATTTTCTTTGTTTCAAGGTTAAGTCATTCAAGAAAATCTGCGTGTGTAGCTAAACATGAGCTAAGGGAACAGACTTCAGCAATCACAATGGCAAGGAAAAGTTTTTGAAAATCGGTTGAGACAAATCTGAAACAAAAGGACTACTATAACCTTTAATAAGTAAAATAAAGCAACCTCCAAATCATTCCTGAGTCCAGATAGCAGATAAAGACTAAAAAAAAAAAACCAAAAAAAAAAAACCAAACAAACCTGTTCTAACTATACTCAAACTAAAAAAAAAAAAAAACATTGGCAGGTAACTAAGGAAACCAAGAAAAGAAATATAAGAGCAAAATGAGAACTTCA